GTTACACTCATCGAGAGCTTTCATTTGAGTACCCACATGCATTTTGATTTATTTTTCATATAGTGAAATATATAAATATATAAAATATATGAAAAATTGATGTGGGTACTCAAATGAAAGGTCTCGATGAGTGTAACATCGGGATGAGCTTATATCTTTAAAAATGTCAATAGTTCACATTATAAAAGGTCATTTCTTAATTATGTATCTAGGGATAGAGCATTTTCGAATACAGCCTAAATGGTGAGAATTATATGAAACCTTGAAAGGACACAAATTCAAGTCAAGACCTTTGCAATGACACTAAATTTAACTAAAAAACCCGATTTTATCATATGACTATCTTAGAAACAAAATTTTTCTGATTTTCTCAATAATTTAGATTTTTGGGATTACCAAATAATTGAATTAGTTAATTGAAATGATATACTAATAAAAAAGAAATAAATTTTTAGTAAAATATTGATAACATACCCGAGTTGAATCAACACCTTCTACAAGAGCCCTCGTTCGCTCGGTAGCCTTAACGGTGACCTTGAGAACCCCGTCGACGTAGACGTGGTAGGACTCCAACTGGATGGGGTTGTCTGGCGCAGTCCACCCAATCAGCACACTCTTGTTGAGTTGACGCTCCAGGGTGAGGTGCTGTGGCGCCGGAACTAGGTCCGAAAACAGGTAGACTTCTTCAGGAGGAAAAGACAAGACAAGCCTAGCTGTAGCTAGATATAAATCTCTAAGCTAAACACAACTGTCAAGCGAGCCTAAGAGCACCGAAAATAAATTAAAAATTCAACCAACACAGCAAGATCAACGACGAACATTAACGGTATTAATACCAACAATAATCATAATAATAATCATCACAATTACGATTATTATTTTTATTTAGATTTTAATTATCATTTTCGTGTGTCAAAGTTTCGCTGATGCTGATGCTGAGTTGCTCTGTATGACGATCCACTCATTGTGAGACGACTGTGCAATTACCAGTACATTACCTTGTGATTAAAACTATGCTCAGTTCCAAACGTCGCCTCAAGCATCCACCGCTAAGTAAATTGTCAAACGATGCAACATTTCATGCTAATTTTTTTTTTATTTTTCTGTCAGAAAGACTTACTCGAATTAATCGGTACTTTTAGATTAAATGGATCTTAGATGCATTTTTTAATTAAACAATCAAAATGAAACATTTCTGGTTAATTAAAATTAAGACAAAAAGCGTGCAGCGCGAACACAAACCAGCTTTTATAATATCTAAAGCTCTAATTCTAAGCTATTGTAGCAATTTTCGCCGGATTTTACTTAAGCATGACGATTTTAGCCAGAAAATTTAATAAAATCGTCAGAATACAATACATTGAAACTACTTTATCATTAAGCTTGAATTAAATACCCTGTCATTATCATTATATAATTCTATAGATATAGATATAGATATATAAGTTATTATATAACAATATATAATATGGTTTATGTTCGACAAGTTAGATGGATAAAAAATACTCCACTGATGACGACACAACTTCGAGCTAAACCAACCTGGTGGTTCTTGTTCGTCTTCCTCAGCAATATTGTCAAGTTCGGCGTACGCTGACAGTTCGGCTTGCCGATTTCTGTTTCCCTCCTCCAGTGCCGCCAATTCTAGGTCAATGTCTTGGAGATAACACTGTACAGAAAAAAAATTAAATTAAATCAAGAGAAAAATTCTTGAACCAAGAAAATAATTTTGAAAATTTTCATTGTCTTGAATCAACACGGAAAGAAAAAGATGACATAGATATCATCCCAGATTATACTGAGTAAAAAAAAATTTCAGATAGTAGCTAGTATAATCCAGATTTTAATGAGTATAATAGAGATATCATGCAGTATAATCTGGATTATTATACTACCCCCATGAAAAAATCTATAAATATATATAAATTATATATAGTAAATATATTTTTAATAACTAACTTCTGGCCGATTTTCATATATATTTTAAATATATCTAAAATATATTTGAAGTATATAAAATATATATGAAAATCAGCCAAAAGTTAGTTATTAAAAATATATTTTTTATGTATCTCGACGTATATTTTTTTTATATTTTTTTTTCATTGGGAATAGCTATACTATTTAAAAATTTTTTTCACTACAGATATCACTGAGTATAATCTGGGATGATATCCAGTATCATCTTGTTCTTTTCGTGAAGACGAAAAATTTTTGAATCAAATAAAATTTACTTAAACCAAGAAAAATTTCTTAGTTTAAGAATTTTTTCACTCAATTCAAAAAGATCAAGTTCTTCAAAATTGTTTAATTGATTAAAGTTAATTTTTTCTGTGTGGAATCAATAAAAATAATTACAATTTATTAATATTTAAATTTTGAGTTAACATACTTGTGGAATATTCGTCGACGCAGCGTCATCGACGTCTCTTAGGCCCATGACAGCCTGGTGGAACTCAAGAAGATCATCACCTACGAGTTTTTGTACAAAGTTAGCGGGAACTAGTCCTCTGCGTCCGTCGAGAGTTTCCGCGTCGAGAAACCCGTCGTCGTCAGGCTGGCCCCAGACGAGAAGATAGTCACCACCTTGAACTGGAAGCTCTGCTTCTGGATTTTCATTAGGCGAGTGTTGGAAAGGCTCGTAGCTGAACCTTGCTATGTAGACGTAGCACCTCCCCTTGCCGGGGATATCCAGCATGTCTACTTGACCCTCGGGTAGAATGGTCTCGCTGGTAAGCCGGTCCAGAGGGTTTGTCAGTATTGACGTGGGTATTTTTGGCATCTGACGCGGCCCCAGAAAGTGGTGACCCGTCGTAGAGGTCGCTGTTGGAGATGTAGCCCGTAAACTTTGTTGAATTTGTTGGATAATTGCTTGCTGGTGGAGCTGGTTTGCCTGGGATTGCGCTGACAGCTGCTGCATCGCTTGCAATGGATCATTTATTGCTTGAAGCAATCCACCCGACGACGATCCTGAATAATAAGATAAAAATTGAACCAATTTTCAATCACTTAGTAACTTTATTTAGATGTTGAATTTTATTTTATCTTATTACTTGAAGAAAAATCTAAACAAGTTGCTGATATTGTAATTTGGAAAAAATGTTTGAGATTATGAATATGCTGTTTTACTTTATTACATAAATAAATAAAATTTTGCTTTATTAAATAATGAATTTTGTTAAATTGCACTGTACTTTCTTAACTATTGACGTTTTTAAAGATATAAGCTCATTCCGATGTTACACTTATCAAGAGCTTTCATTTAAGTACCCACATGCATTTTTGATATATTTTTCATATATAAATATATATAATATATGAAATATATGAAAAATCGATGTAGGTACTCAAATGAAAGGTCTCGATTAGTGTAACATCGAGATGAGCTTATATCTTTAAAAATGTCAATCATTAAGAAATTATATTGTATTTTATCAACTTACGATATTTTTAAAGATATAAGCTCATCCTGATGTTACACTAATCAAGAGCTTTCGTTTGAGTACCCACATGCATTTTTGATATATTTTTCATATATACATATATATAATATATATAAATATATGAAAAATTGATGTGGGTACTCAAACGAAAGGTCTTGAATAGTGTAACATCGGGATAAGCTTATATCTTTAAAAATGTCAATAGTTCACGAGATACAAGGTAATTTCTTAATTATGTTTCTAGAGATAGAGCATTTTTGAATGCAGCCTAAATATTTATTATCATAAATTGACTATTGGTGAGAATGTTATAAAACATTTTATCATATAAATCCACTGGCCATAAAATTTTGGTTATTCTCTTAACAATATAGATGATTATAAAATAGACGAGAAAGAAAAAACTGACCTGAGCTAACGCCAGAAGTGCCAAAGGCATTGGTCCCGACAGTCGAGTAAGTTGATCCAGTTGTAGAGAAGCTGCTTTGAACGCTGGAGAAAGGAAGCACTGATTGGGATACACTTGGGAGGCCACTGAGCGCCGAGTGATAAGACGAGGACGAGTACGGCGGCAATGAAGACAGTGTCGTTTGCGTGAGGTTTGTCTGGGGAACTGAGTAATTATGATGGCCTAGCTGATGCGTCGTCCCAAAGCTGCTACCAACCCCGGAGGTGAAGCTTCCATTTGGGTGAGTAGTCAGCGTTAAGTTTGGATAGTTGCCACTCTGGAATAATTTTATATCAATTATAAATTAATTAAAACTTTTAATCATCTAACCCGTTTAATTTTCAGAAAAACTCAAACGAACCTGTTGAGTTCCATTAAGGAAAGTTTGTCCAGTCTGCCCGGTCGGTTGGCTGTAATGAGGCAGGACACTCTGGCTGGTGGACCCCAAGTACGTACTCGACACAGGCAGCTGAGATTGGTGAGTTTGCTGTTGCTGACTAGACTGCTGATGGGACTGCTGAAATGACTGCGTGTGTGTATGAGGATAACTTTCTTGATATTGATTGCTTGAGAAATGTGTGTGCGCTTGTTGCTTTTGCTGTTGTTGCTGCTGTTGCTGTTGTTGTTGCTGTTGCTGATGCTGATGCTGAGACGAGAGACTGGAGAGACTGGCTTGAGGATGAGAGCTGGCCATGTCGACGTGTGTCTGATGCTGATGGTGATACTGCTGCAGCTTCTGCTGAAACGCGGGCTGGGATTGGCTGGTTGACAGGGACGACGGGGCGGGAGGAATTGGTTCGCTGTAGTGATATGGTGGTCCGTTGGGAGTAAGCGGCGGGCAGCCAGGCATCATTGGTGTCAGAGGCATCGGCGAGCCTACGTAGTGTGACATCCCGAGGTCTCCGAGCTCCAGCGCGTGTGGATGAGGAGGATGCTGCTGGTGCTGGCTTAGGCTGCTCAGGTTTTCTGCGCTAGATCGCAGGATTCTCTGCCCGGAGGAAGGCTGCTGGGTCGTCACCACTCCTCTCGTGTGGTCCAGTTCGTGGAGAATACGACCGCTAATTGATTTAAATGTTTGGAAAATTTTAGTTTTTTGTTTATTTAAAGAAACACTGTTAAAATTTTCAGAGAAAAAGACGGTAATTATTTACAAGTGGGGTCAAACGTATTTTTGGCCATATCTAGATGAAAAATTAACATTTTTTAACTTTTTTTATTCTGCTTGTTTTTACGGATGATGATAAATTTTGAAGATTTAACTTAACAAATAAATTATTATAAAGAAAATTTTTTAAATATTAATTTAAAAAAATTAATAAAATATTTTATAATTTCAATTATATAAATAAATTATGGTCAAATTAAAAAATTTGGAAAGTTTTTAAAGTTTTACTTGGCAAAAAAATTAAAAAAAAAAAATTCTAAATGCAATTTTTTTTTTAATTTTGGTAATTATTTACAAGTGGGGTCTATCCTATTATTGGCCATATTTGGGTGAAAAATTAATATTTTCAAATTTTTTTTACCTTCAAAAGTTAGAAAAAATTTTAGCTCTCATGTTTTTGGACAAACTTTCTATTTTATTTTTTTTTTTTTGATGAAAAATTTATAAATTTTTTTGAAAATTTGTTAAAATTGTGATAATCGATTTTTTTTTTCTAATTGCTTATTTTTTATGTATTTTTCAAAAAAATTTATATCAAAATTAAAAAAATTCGTCCAAAAAAATGAAAATTAAAATACTGACCCCACTTGTAAATAATTACCAAAAAAACTTGATATCTTTTTTTTAATTAAAAATACTTATACCAAAATTAATTTTTTTTTTTTGCAAAAATTTATCTTTTCCTTGATAAAAATACTTTAACAGTGTTTTGATTAAATTGAACAATAAAAAAGGGATGAAACGTACTACCTAGTGTCCTGCTCAATCTTAGCAATCATCCTGTCAATTTCCGAGCCTGAAGGCGGCCACGTGGTTCCAGTGATACTAGTAGTGGCCGTGGAACCAGGACCGCGACTCCTCGCTCGCCTGAGACTCGTCAGCTCCAAAGACAACTCTTCGCTCCTCACCATCTGCAGCTCCGTTTTCTTTTCAAGTTCGCGAATCTTGGACTGGAGCGCCTCGACAGACTCTGGACCTTGATATCTGCCTGCTAGCTTTTCCCGTAGCTGGTTCTGTGCTTCGGCATGCTGCCGCTCCAGGTCCGCCCTGCGAGCCTCCGTCTCGCGCATTTGCTATAATTATTACAGTTTTATTTTTCTATTAATAATTTTCCAATGTAAAAAAAAATCTATTATAATCACTAAGAGCTTTTTATATTAATACCGAGTGTTAATTTTCTCGTAGATTTTAATAACCAAAATGTCTGGGTAATTTCGGAAAGACTCGACGACAGAAATCGTTTGCGTGGCATTAATAACTGGTGAAGTAGAGGTATGTCGAAAAAAATAACTAGAATAAAAATTTTTTAGGGAAAGAGATTCTCATTGTGTCTGGCATTGCCTGAAGCCGTCGTGTGGGCGTTATACTTCTCTATAGATATGCTATCATCTCCTATTCAATAAAAATACTCTTTCACTTACCTAATTTTAAATTAAAAGTATATTTTATAATAAAGTTACTTTTAATTAATTAAAATTTATTATTATTATTACCATAAAAAAAGTTAGAAATTAAAACTAAAAATAAAATCATGGAATTTTTATTTAGCGAGAAATTTTTCAATTTTTTTACAGAACTTTTTTAGAAAAAAAAAAAAAAAAATTCAAATAAAAACTAGTCAAAGTTTGATTTAAAAATAATTTTTTTTTTTATTAAATTAAAATCTATTATTATTATTACTTATTACCATAAAAAAGTTCAAAATTAAAAATAAAAATAGAAATTTAAATTTAGCGAGAAATTTTTCAATTTTTTTATAAAACTTTTGTAGAAAAAAAAAAAAATTCAAATAAAATATAGTCAAAATTTGATTTGAAAAAAAATTTTTTTTTATTTTTATGAATGAAAATTAATGATATAATTACCTCCAGAATGGACTCAAGTACCGGATCCTGCATGATGGCTCTCCCGGAGGTGGCTGCGACGGCAGTTCCAGTACCCAAATGCTGTGCGGCCTGGGGTAACGTGGTCCCGCCACCTCCAACGCCACAGCACTGAAAGAAAACTCGATCATCAATTATCCAATCCATCACCGGACAATCGATAATAATTAATCTTGACAGGAAGTAGCATTTTATCAATCATAAAACAAATAAATAAATAAATAAATAACAAAATGAATCAATCAATTAATATATAAAGCATACTGTAGGTAAACTACAACTAAAGAGCAATAATACAATTTATCAAGTCCTCTTGGGACATGATCAATACGCTGGAATAACCAGACTCATCATACAGTATAATATCCAATTTGAGCTCCTGCATCGACATATCTTGACTATGAATTCCAAAAGTCCATTAAAAATGAAATATATACTTATACATATACATATCTTGGATCTATATAATGAATAACAGCATAAAAGACACCTACGCATGTCGGCGAGATACTAGCCTACGCACTACCCACTATACTCGTATTACTCTTTGAGTTTCTACGGGTATTCTTGTTCTATGTACTCTCAAATCAATGGGAGAAAATTGCATTGATTCTCTATGGAAGGACTATATCCTTAATCTAATTTAATAAACTAATTGTTAGAGTACTGAAGATAATTTTCTATTGATGTTTAAAGTTATGTTGAGATTCTTAAGATCAGGATGATGATCATGATGAAGATAATTGCAACAATAATTATATAGATGATTATTTACACTGATAAAATGATTTATTAAATTTTTTTAAAGAAAAATAAAGATATTTAGTACAATTAATTTAAATAAAATATAATTTAAACTTAAATTGAAAAAATAAAGAAGAAAAAAAAATATTTAGGACAATTAATTTAAATAAAATATAATTTAAACTTAAATTAAAAAAATAAAGAAAAAAAAATTCTACGTTGAAGAGAAAATTTTTTTAAGTTAAAAAAATGTTTTATTTTTTTTATAAAATTTCTTGATAATTTTCTTAAAATAAAATTTTTTTTTTCTGTATATCAGACAAAAATAAATCTTTCTATCAGTGAAATACTGGAATGATATGATGTCATACTCAAATATATAATACAATGTACAGAGAGCCGGGTTAAAATGAATCTAGATGATCAATTCGAGTAAAATCTGACCTTGTACATTTTGTAGGTATACGAAGTGCCGAACGACATATTGGACAGCACGTCACCCTTTGCTAGATGATGAGCGACGTTCGCGCGCTTTTAATTGCAAGTTGCGCTGGAAATAGACAACAGAGAGGAGCAACTGTTCATGTTTAAACGTTTTTTATCGGAAGTAGAGATGAGCGACTGAAAACCATTTGGAAAATTTTTGGTAAGCGCTTTTTAGATACATATATATATTAACAGAATATTTTTTAGTAGGGAAAAATGATTGATTAATTACGGGTATTGTTATTGGGGAGTAATTGATGCGAATCAACTGGTTCATTTATTCACCGTCCATTGTAATTTAAGAAAGGCTGACATAATATGAGGGAGTATGTAGAGTAGAAGAGTTGATATAATGAAAGGGGAAACGACATATCGTCTGATTAACGTGCACTGTACTACTTAGTCGGCTCACATCGGCTCTGTACCACTGACGGACTATATATCTGTCAAAGTAATTACTCTCTTCGTATTATGTATTGCTGGGAGTGATATGACTAAACCTGATGTGATTCATTCTACTCGCCAGGGATTTGTTCAAATTATTTTCAGGATTAATCTAACGATTGGTGTTGAATTTAAATAACTTTTTTTTTAAACTAGAATAAATTTTTAAAAATTATTTAAATTCAAAATTGATTTTTTTAATATTTAAATAATTTTTTAAATAATAAAATTAAATAAGGTTAAATAAATTTTTTAATTTTACTTGTTTGATATTTCTGAGAAATAATTGAAAAGAATTAATATTGTTCAAATTATTTTTAGGATTAATTTAACGATTGATATTTGATTTAAACAATTTTTTTTTGTAAAGCTAGAATAAATTTTTAATAATTATTTAAAATAAAAATTAAATTGAAAATTAATTTTTTTTTAATACTTAAATAATTTTAAATAATAAAATTAAATAATTTTTAAAATTTTACTTTGATATTTCTGAGAAATAATTGAAAAGAATTAATATTTTACAAGTGAGTAGTTAAATAACTTTAGCAATTTGTAAAGTTGATAAAGTTTAACATAAGTTAAATATTAAAACTTTTACAGTATTAAAATTTAAATAAATTATAATGCACAAGAGTCAATTACAAGAGTCAGATTTATAAAAAATAAATGTATAAAAAAGCGTAATCCCAATGGTATTTAGATTTTTACATTCGTGAAGAGTGATCCAGTTTCAGCACAATCGCATCCCTTCTCGCGATCCACGAGAAAAACCAGAGCTTTTAAGCTTAAGCTCGAGGCTTTTTTGTTCTCAGCTGCTTTATCTGGATGTTAAACCAGAAATAATCGACTCGTCGAATGATCGATTGTCCTCTCGGGTATTTATATACATTAAGTGACGAGTTTTCTGTTTTAGAGCCAAAGAGCCGACCGAAACCAAAGAAATCACCGGATTTGTATTAAAAGTAAAAATATCAGAAAGAAGAAAACCAAAAAGAAGAAGAACAAGATCCACGAATGCGATAGCTTCTGAATAATAGCTCGTAATTCAAAATGACAGTGGTTAATTTTCGAATTTGCAATTTAACGTCCGTGGAAATGTGCCCGAACGTTAACTGCAAGATCTACTACTACACACCGAATAGAAGAGAAGCATAAAGAAAGAGAGAGAGAGAGTTTATTCGTGGCTTAAAAGTGAGGTCAAGATAAACTCAGAAGCAAGTACAACACCGCAGAGATAAATTAACTTGGTAAGATATTTTTTTTTCTTCCTAATAATGCAAAAAAAATAATTTATTTTAGTCTAAAATAGTTTTTACTTGGAGCAATAATTATAATTGATCCAGACGTATGTAAATTAAGCAAGTAAGTAAATAAGAGGGTGTGGGTCAAGGGGGATTGAATCCAGATGAGGGTGGCCGGTTAAATCAGCAGCACGGCACTGCTTATTGATCTCACTACTAAAGATACCTACATATACGTATATAGGAGTCTCACCGGGCGTCACACACCACTCTGCGTACTACCACCGGGTGCATGACAAGTCCCACACTCACATATAATACTACATACGTAGTCATTGTACATATCCATATAATACTACTCCAACTCGTTACAGTACTAGTAATATAGTTTTGTATACATATATATATATATATATCTATTTATATATGTGTACAAATATAGCTGACAGACAGACAGATATGTATGTACATAAATATGTAAGGCGTGTGTAGTACACTCGCTAAGAACACTACTGAATAGAATCAGTTATAAAAGATATTAAGAAGAATATATCTTTATAAAGAAGAATATAATGGCGTAATGTGAAAAATTAACAAAATTTTAACATTTTTTTTCACTCGCCGCCATCGTTACTGTACACTTTAGCTCCATCTCGACTCTAGGCCGACTATATATATATATATATATATATATATATATCTATAATAGATCTCTTCATCCTTAATCTTCACAATCTTATCAACAAACGTCGATAAAATATTTATTTAAGCACTCGCTATACATTTCTTCACCGTCACCACTGAAGAAATAAAAAAAAATTAATAACTTAACTTGGAAAAAAAATTAAATGAAAATTAATTAATTAATTGGAGTAAAATATGATAAATTATTAATATTAATAATAATAAACAATTTAATAATTATACACTCACGATAACCGAATCGAAGGGATTGTGGCAGGCCAGGGCTGCTGCTGGTGATGAAAAAGGTTCCGCGAGAGGCGAGAGAGAAAACGAGGGAGTTTCTCGTTTAAAATTAAGCCTTGTCTTGTAATTTTAAATTATAAATAATTATTTTATCGTAATCGGAGTCACTTTTTTTAATTGAAGTAAAATAAATTCACTTTTTTTTATAATTAATCCACCGGTCACTCGATTTTTAATTTTTGACTCCGGGCTTTAAGATTTTTAAATAAAAATAAAGATTACTAAATACGTTTTAGACATTTTGGAGTTAGAGGGTAGTCAGCCCCCGTGATCTCGGGCCACGGTGAGGCAGGGCCGCTGTTTTAGGTTCGAATTATTGGTGGTGGGTGGGTGGGCGCGATTACGATTACGAGAACAACGGCGACGGCGACGACGAGAGCCAGCTGCCGAGGCCCCCCGATTCCGAGAGCATATACGACACGGGTAGTCAAGCGACACCTACTGGTGACTGGCCCGACTAAGAAAAGCCACCCCCGCTGGAAGAGAAACCCCTGCGAGGGAGCACTCGAGAACTGCTTGCGCAAGCTCGTCGAGCGTGGAGGTGGCCAGTCCCCTCCGACACGCCGGATATAGGTCACTCGTGGATCGATCAGAGGGACGCCTGGCACACGCCGACTGCTCTGCTACCTATCACAAAAGACCAATCAATAACGACACACCGTAGCAATCTCCAATATCTTACTTCCAAGCTATACTTTTCTTACTCCGAGCATAGTCTTCTTTATAACTCATCTCTTTACTTAGGAGATCCTTTTTTTTTGAGACAACAAAAACGACCCGCTGACACCGACGGTCGCCGGAGGATAACTATCCCTGTAATTTCCAGAAGGTCAGATTCCAAAATTTTTCCCAAAAAAAATTATTCTTTAAGATACTTTTGGGAAAATTCAACTTTTGTATTTTTTTACTCAAAAGTTTTCTTCTAATGAAGCTTTTACCTGAAAATTCAAAATTCTGTCAAAAAATTGATAGACCTTTTTTTATAAAAAATTAAATTTCCTAAAAAAACGGCTGCGCAATTTCAAAACACAGAAACTAACATTTAAAAAGGTTTCTTATTAAAAAATAGTTAGCCTGCCAAATTGATGAAAAATTTGATTTATGAATAGAAAATACTTGAATATAAATATTTTTAAGAAAAAATACTTGAAATTAAGGTCTAAAAGTTATAAAAAATCCAGTAATATTAAAAAAATTTTGCAGTTACTGTGTCTTAAAATTGGGCAGCCGAAAAGTCTCTAT